CTTGAATCAATTTGTACTGAGGAGTTAAGTATGCCGCATCGAATTATAATGTACATGCTCCAGATACACACACACACACACACACACACAGACATAGATGTTTTGCCTATTTAGATAGCTGGCAAATTTTTGTTCTTTTAGCTAATCTCATCAAATTGCGTTGCACAATTTTGTTGTTATCAACAGGCAGGACGAAGGCTGTGCAGGACAAAGTCCATTTTTATGGTCACTCAAATGCGCATAAAACTTGCCATGTGTGCGAGAGAGAGAGGGAGGGTGAGGCAGGGGCAGGGGCAGGGAAGTGGAAGGCAGACTTTGTCTGCTTTCATATTTACGAGTCTTTCGCTTCCTTTTTTGTTAGACTGCTTCGTGTGGCGTCCTGGCTGATGAAACTTTATGACAAAATTTGCTGAATCAGAGATTTTTGGAATAATATGTAAAGCTAAGCATGCCCCCAGCCCCAGCTACCCCACCTTCCCCACGCTTCCCTTTGACTGTGGGCATATTCCTAATCAGTTCACTCATTAGCCATATTTTATTACGTTGCATATTTTAATTGAATTGTATACAGAAAACATTTAAAATTTCCATTTGTCACATGTGTTGTTCGCCTGCCATGTCCTTGCGCCGCCTTTGTCCTGGGCGACGCTTTGATGTCCAGCAGCTGGTGCCCTAAAACAAATTGAGAATTGATTCTTTATAGACCATTAGTTTTGATTATACAATAGGGCACAGGACATTGGGAAGACGGCGCACAAGATGTAGCTCTGGCTGGGGTCCTGCTAGCAGGACCTTGTTCCGGCCAGGACATTCAATTGAACGCTTCAACGCCTATCGAACAAATTTTGTGTGTTGCCAAAAATTATGACCGCTGCCGGCTTGGCTATTATATATCCACGATATATGCTTACTCTGCCGCCCTCTCTCTCTCTCCCTTTCTCGCTTACTCTATCTGCAGCTGTCTCTTTCTGCTTGTGTCCATGTACATGATAAATTCGGGTTTATTTATCGGCCTGCTCGCTGGCCAACAGACGTGAATTTCTATTTGTAGTTGAGCTTCTATGCCAAAGGTTGTCGATGTGTGTGCGGGTGTGTGTGTGTATGTGTGTGTGTGTGTGTGTGTGTCTGTGTGTGTGTGTGTGTGTGTGTGTGTGTGTGTGTGTGTGTGTGTGTGTGTGTATGTGTCTAGCTAATGGCATGGGCTATTCAGATACATTAGGCAATAGCCATTGGGCGCCGTTGCAGCTGCTGTTGGCCTCGACTTAAAGTCGGATAAAATAAATTTCGAAATTGCAGAAATTCACATAGAAAATAGTTGGAAAATTAAAGAGCTTAGCGGCTTAGCATTAGGCTATGCCTGACTGCAGATACTCTGTGAAAAGTGAATTCGTTTAGAGTTCAAAAATATGAAAGCTTTTGGCTGTGACAACAAAGTGTTACTGGACGAAAATTATTTCTATGTTGATCGACGGAGCATACTCTGTAAAAAGTATAATCTTATGAAATTTATAGCTACACTTATGGTGCTTAAGTGGGTATGCTCGACTACACATACTTCGTAGCGAGCTCAAAATCAGTTTGAGATTGGTCTGACAAATTTTTGATATTTAAGCAAAAATTATTTAATAAAAAATATAAAAAATAATATAATATAAAATATATAAATATAATATATAAAAAAATTGGAAGTATATAATATTATATTATCATAAAATAAACAAAAAAATGTATATATAAATAAAATACAAAATATATTTATTTAACGCAGCATGCAAACCTTTAAGCATACTCAATAATTGTATACAATTTTTTAGCTGACATAATTAATATCTTAGTAATGCTATAAAAACTATGCGCATTATATGTATTCATTATATATGTATTTAATTCGCTCTAATAATGCCCAATTGGATGTTGAAATTGTTGCAATTCGCATTGCGCTTCATTTGGTTGAATTGATTTTCATTTGTTTGCGCAATTTGCAGGCCCAATTTCGAGTCGCATCCGTTGGCAGAGGCAAAAGGACGCAGGGACGCAGGGACGAAAGGACATTAACACAGGCAAAACAACGGCAACAACAACAAACAAAATAACAAAAATTGAACAGAAAACAACAGACATAAATTGTCAATAACAATTTGTAAAATTGTTTTACAACCAAATGTGAAAGCAAAAATAGAGATTCAACTAGAGCGAGACGGCGCTAGGCAGAGCGACAGAGTAAGAGCGAGAAACATTTCATTTGATTATGCTGAAATTCCAATTGCCATGTTTACAGCCAAATGGGCGGCGGCTGGTCTAGGGCAGGTGGATAAAGCAGGAGGCGTGGCACAGACTGTATCACTATAAACAATAACTCATTTCGTTTTAATGATGCTCGGCGTGGGCGTGGCGGGAGAGCAGCATAATTAATTAGAGGCAAGCCGGCAATTCGCATCGAACTCGCTATTTGCACTTTTATGTGCTTAACACGTTACGAGTGGCTATGTGGGGCATATTGGTTTTGCCGATAAGAATGTGAAAGGCAGGAGATGTAGCTGGGTCTATGAGGTAGCTACTAAATTGATATAGATATATATATATATATATATTGATCAGCACTGATAGTCGAGTCGTTGGTCGAGGCATTTGCTAGTCAGGCACTCCCCACACAAACACTTTACCTGTTCTCAAATGACAAAATCCATGGAATTGTCCAGCAAAAAGTAGGTGTCGCTGTCACGCCTCCAAATGGTAGCAGCTAAAAGGATCAAAAGAATATATATAGTTCTATATAGATATATAAAAAAAAAAATTAAAATTAACTTTTTTGATAGTTATTTAGTATTTTATTTATTTAGCATTAATTTTTTGAGTTTTGTTTTGTTTTGTTTTTTTTTTTTGCTGCATAATTAATTAATTTATATATATATATATATATATATATATATATATATATATATATATATATATATATATATATATATATATATATATATATATATATATTATTCAGATATATATGTATTTATATATCTTTTTTAGCTGCTTTCTATTTTTGAGTTTAGCTACAGCAACTAAAACTAGTTCGTCAATTAAATTACAATTTAAATGTTTTAATTACACAATTTTTAATGCAGTTAAAGAGCTTATTTCTTCTTCTTTTTGTGTGTTCCATGGGGGGATTATTTATTATTTATGATATTTTACATTTAACAGCCTTATTATTAGCATTTACGTCGCCTATCTGGGGGATTATTACACATTGCATGAATTCTCTTTATTTATTATTTAAGTGCTGCTCGATTTTAAATACAATTCTAAATTTTTAGGTTTTTTTAGGTGAGTTTTAATTCTGGTTTTTTTTTCATATATTTCGTTAGGGTTTTCCATATTAGTTAATATTTTTTTATTTGGCTCAATTATGTCGGATTTCGTACTAAAAATTACAGTTATCTTCACTTAGTTTAACTACATCGGTGCTATTTATTTTTGCGTGTGTGTGGGAATTTCTGTTTAATTTTCTCTCGCTTAGCTTTCATGTTCAGATGCTTTATAAGGTTTCAAAACTATTTACAAGCCAATATGTACTATATATAAATATAGATTATATATATTTATATATATATTTACTATATATATATGACATATATGACACACTCACCGTTTCGTTGTTGTGGAAATCGAACTGGCATTAAGGGCACGTCTAGTCTATCTATAGAGCGGGCTTTAGCTACGCTTACGTTTACGTGGGTTGCTCTAAAGATTTCTATGGGTGTGCAAACTGTGTGTGTGTGTGTGTGGAAACTATATTTATTGATTTGCAATTTATATTTAACTAATCTGTGAAACTGTAGAGTGGTGCATTTAAGACCGTAGGGTTTCATGTTGCTTTTGGATTTCAGGCAATCGTATTTCACGTTCTTCTCATTAATAATAATAACTAAATAGATCTTTTGATAATATATAATCAAACCCGCTTTTCATTCATAAAATCAACAAAACTTAAAGCTATGCAAGAAAATTAATATATTTGTAAGTTGATATGAGAAAATGTTAAAACTTAACCTGATGTTAGTTCACTTTTCACAGTCTACCTACACTTTATTAGCAATGTGATAAGCGAATATGGTGAATGTATTCTGGTAAAAATTTAGCTGTTATACGTTAACAGTTAAGTTAACATTTGGCCATCTCTATGCCAACAGTTAACAGTCAATCAGCAGTTTAACTAAGGCCGTTCTAGTGGAATATTAATACTTAACATTTAACATAGCAACTCTATGTAATACTTAACAGTTTACTGTTAACATGTCAACTCGATGCAATATTGTAACATATTAACTCATCCACAAGAAGCTGTTAACATTACAGACAGAGCTAGTTTCTAGTTTATGTTAGTCTGTTAGCTCATAAGCTTTTATGTTCCACTGTTAACATCCCATTGCCACATTCCTTACATTCTGTTTGCAGCTAACTCAGATTCTGTTCACATTCCACAGTTCTGTTAAGAATGCCGAGGCTGTTAGCTTGGCATTAACAGCATGTTAGAGAAGAGAATTGTAAGCAGAATCCTTTTATGATGAGCTTTGCATATCTGGCTCTATGTGAACTTATCTAACACGAACTTTGCTTATAAGCTTTTTAGACGAGACTTAGATGAGTTGGTTTATATTGAGTTTGCTCTTTAACAGTTCAGCTCTTGTCTTTCTACTTATCTCACTCAACTTGCCCTCTACAGCTGTTGCTCTCTCACATCTACAGTTTCACAGATGTTGTAGTTCCCTCCACTCCCCCTCTCTCTCCATCTCTTCTCACTAACCCTTTTTGTAGTCTGACACCCATAATTAAGCCTGCCTTCAGCTAGCTCTTACCCAAATGCAGTTCACAACTTTCTTTTAAAGTCTTTCACTTAAGTCTACTGAGCAAAAACACAACTCAAAGGGCTTGGCTAGATAACCCTTTTGGATATATGCATAGATATACTCTGCTTCTATATATATGTATATATGTATGTGTGCTTAGACGTTAGCGCTGGTGCCGAAGCTACTCAGGAATTTGCTATCAGACGCTAGGCTGTTCGAGCTATGGGCGGGATTAGCTATCAGCAGGGGCAGCTTGTTGTCACCTGTGCCGGCTTGGAATTGCTGCTGCTGCTGCTGCTGCTGCTTGAAGGTCTGATAGGCATCGGAGCTAACAGCCGACCAGGTGCCATCCTTTGCCTTGACGTACAGATGCTGCTTGTTGGGCTGCTTGCTGCCGAAATGATGAAAATCATTGGAAGTCCAATCATTGAGCAGCTGATTCGTCGAATTGCACAGAGCCGAGAAATCTGCATCCAGTTGATCAGCTCCAGCAGCAGACGATGCCGACGCCGATGCCGATGCCGCTGCTGGTGGTCCGCCCGTCAGATAATCCACATTGTTTGGCTGCCTAGCCGATTTGCCCAGTATATTGTTCTCGCTCTTGAAGAGCGTCTTGGGCTGTCGCTGCCGTCTCAGAGTGCCAGCTCCGCCGCCGCTGGCCATCTGAGCGGCCAGCGTGGTGTTCGCATAGGCGCCCAAGCCCTGCTTCAGGGCGTTGCTCGCCAGCAGCAGCTGCTGCTGCTGATTGAATGGATTCGTGCGCTCCTGGGTCTTTGAGTTCGTCTCGTTCTTTTGCATTTGCTCCAACTTGTTCTCGGTTATGTTGATCTTTTTCAGCTTCGCCGGCGAGTTGCTGATCAAAGCCGTCGAGGCTGTTGAAACGGTCATTGGATTCGGCTCGAGGCAGCCATAATGCGCGCTCGCCGGTGCCGAGTACATGCCCGCCGCCTGGTAATCAGTGTTGCAGCCATTGTTGTTGTTGCCCGGCTTGGCGGCATAGCGATTCTGATAGAGCTTCACATTGGCCACCACATTCGTTGTCGCATACGCACCGCAGCTATCATACAATGATGATCCCACGGAAGTCTGGGCTGCATTGTTGTGGGGGCTTTTGAATGTCGAGCAGGCCACTTCCGCATAGTCCGGCATATTCAATGGCGATAGCCTAAAAGAGAGACGGCGGCAGTTTGGGGTTAGCTTATTAACTGTTAGCTTAAAAAGCGTATGTCTGCCACACACGCACACGACTCATAAATCAATCGTAGGAAATTGCTTTTGTTAGCCCATACACAGAGCTCATTTATGGGATGTTTCGTGGTTCGAACCTGCGTCCCCTGCAGCAAATTGTTTGGCTGCAGCTACATTTAAAAATGCGCGTTGTATCAGTGGAAGTTGCACCCTTGCTTTAGCTGGGCGTGTCATCCATTTAAACTTTCTAATTAGTGGGCGAAAGGCAACAGCAACAAAAACGCGCAAATTGTTGGCCAACAACTTTTTTGGCCAATTGCAAAAATTTGTATGCCAAAACTTTTTTATTGCTCAAATTTTTCCTCGTGCAGCACTAATTAGCTAATGAGATAATGCTTATCTATTGCAAATTTGCCAATGAATTTTTCACAATTTTCTCAGCCAACAGCAAAAGTTGAGCGCTTCGTTGAGCGTAAATTTTGGGGCGAGGAATTAGCCATGAATATGAATAGTTGCAGATTAGACTGGTGCGAACGAGTGGATTATGAATTGCATTTACATTTCTGATTGAAAGTGCGCATTGGAATGCTACAAATTGTCAAGGCTGGAGTGAAAAAGTTGATTGGAAATTCACAAATCGCTGAATTCTATTTTAGTTGCAGCTCGTTTCAGGATGAGAGATTTACAAGGAACTGGAACTTTACGAAATTTAAGCTGCATTTTCATATTCATGTTTTACAATGAGGTTTAAAGTTCATATTAAATTTTCAGTGACTGCAAACATAGGACTCGAAGACATATTTTATGGCTAATTAATACGTGCTAAAATACTCCAGACTACTCTTTAAACTTTCACAATGAAATTGCCTTCAATTGCCTCACAGCTAACGCTAACTCCTTAAGTTCATGTTAGGCTTACAATGTACTTGAGCAAGTGTTAATATGAAATTCAAGAATTTAATTTATTTGAGTCTATGGGCAAGCTTCAAGTTGATTGACTGAAGAAGCGCATAGTAAAAAAAATAAATAAAAAAATAATAAATAAGACACCTGTAGCCTAAAACTACGATTTATAGTTTTACAATGAAGATAAGGTGCCTTGCAGCCTCATGTTAAGCTAACAATGAAATTGTTTAAATTGAAATTATATGAAAATTTAAGCTGTTATTTAAAATAAATTATTGCGAGTTGTAGTTGTAATTAATGTGAGCTCTTACAATGAAGATTAACTACCTTGTAACTAGAAAAGTTCATGTTAAGTTACAATAAACGTGAGAAAAAATTTGAAAATTTAAAAAATAATATATATAAAAATTAAATGATTGATAATGATTATTATAATGAGTTCTAATACAATCAAGGCTTCAGGAATACTTTGAAAGCTTCTACAGAAGCCTTAGAGCTCACACAATTAGATATGAATACCCATGACACATTCAAGTAATATCTGCACTCAACCTAGGAACATATGTGATTAATTGATTGCTTATAATCTAGAAAACATGAAGAACCAATAATGAAAGCATTAAGACTCTATATTAGGCCTGGCACTGAGCTCTGCCAGGTATGCAGAGGCATATACCTATAGATATATATGTATTTATATTTTGAATATACTGCTTAACAGTTAGCTGCAGCTCAGCCTAAATACGCTTGAGATTAGGCAACGGAATTTCAAATTTTCCAGCAATTAAACGTGACTGCGACGGGGGAATCGAAAGGCCTATAGGCACACAGGCGCTATTGGCCTAAGGTATACCGCTCTCTCTCACACTCTCTCGTTCTCTGCCTCTCTTTTAAGCGTGGCTGTGGCATTTGCATATGCTCCAGGCTTTAGGCTCAAAGTGGAAATTATGACTGGGGGAGCCCCTGGGGCTATCAATTTTTAATTGTTAATTTAGCGGTGAGAATTACGTTCGCATGCTAATAAACAAAGTAAAAGGCGAGGGCGGGGTTGGAGGCGGTTTTAATAATAACCAATGCAAGATGTTGGAAAATCAGACAACCCGAAAAGAAATTAAATATTTTAATTGGAAATTCAAATGACACGCGTGCCAAGCGCCCAAGCGAAGCGAGTGTAGCTGTAGGTGTGTGTGGGCGGGTGAGTGTTGTTTTTTACGACTTTACAACGTTGTTAAAAAAGTGAACAGCGCAAGAAAAGTTTGGCGAAAAAGTAAACACAACGGAAAAATTGAAACGGAAATAATGAAAATCGCGTAACGGAAGTGGCAACAGCATTAGAAGGAGATGGCAGCAGCAGGAGGAACAGCAGAAGTAGAAGGAGGCGGCATGGCAATAGGAAGTACTCAAATTGCAGTAGTGTGAGGGCGTGGGCAGAGACAAAGGCGGAGGCGGAGGTGGAGGAGTATAGTAGAGAGGGGGATGGGCTCAGGCTGGATATTCGCCTCGGTTGGAATATTGTAAAAAAAAATGTCAAAACAAATAAATGCGTAAAATGCCGCAAATAAATACGCACAAGTCGACAGTAAAAGAAAGAGATAGAGAGAGAAGGAGAGAGTGAGACGGGTTGTGGGTGGCGCAATATGTCGCAGCAGTTGCGTCTTTTTATTGCGCCTTGTTTGCTTTTCAGTTATTGTTGCCACAACGGTACATTAAGCTTTAAAGAAAAACTTTCGTTGAGGGGCGGGAAAGCCGAGCATACAAAAGCATAAAAAGAAACATGACAAAAAAACAACACAAAACAAAAGAGAAAAAACAAAAACACGGCGCAAAATTGTTTAAGTAAGAAGTAAAAACAAAGCAGCAACACGCAAAGGGCGATAGGTAGAAGAACAAAAAGAAAACTTGGATAAAGTTGGCGTAAAGATATATGTGGATTAGAACAGCTTAAAACGAGGAGAGCAAAGGAATGTTTAAAGAGCGACACGGGAATGGGATAAGGAAAAATATGGGAAAAACGAAAATTTGTTAATGAATGAAATGACACAATTGAACGAATGAAATGAATGAATGAATGAATGTAATGAATGAATTAAAGGAATCAATGAAATGAATGAATTAAATGAATGAATGAGTGTTATGAATAAATATAATGAATAAATGAAATAAATGAATGACTAAATAATGAAATGAATGAGTGAATGAAATGAATAAAAGAATTAAATGAATAAATTAAATGAATGAATAAAATTAATGCATGTAATGAATGAATGAATGAAAGTATTGAATCGATTAATGAAATGAATGAATGAATAAATGAATAAAATGAATGAATGAAATAAATGAAATGAATAAATGAATGAAATGAATAAATGAATGAAATGAATAAATGAATGAAATGAATAAATGAATGAAATGAATGAATGAAAGAATGAAGGAAATGAATGAATGAAATGAATGAATGAAATGAATGAATGAAATGAATGAATGAAATGAATGAATGAAATGAATGAATGAAATGAATGAATGAAATGAATGAATGAAATGAATGAATGAATGAAATGAATGAATGAAATGAAATGAATGAATGAATAAATGAATGAATTCATAAATATATATATACATGTAATAAATAATTGAAGTGAATGAAATGAATGACTGAATGGCTCAATGAAATTAATGAATAAATGAGTTAAAATAAACTAAAGAGAGCTCAGTAAGTAATCTGAACTGAAAGCAAATGGAACAAAAAGAAAGTTATATATATCTTATATTTCGAAGCTCTCATAACTACGCTTAAAATCGTAGATTTATTGCCCTTAGTTTACGAAATATTTCACATTTAACTCAAGTTTATAGCTGCACTTCAGCTTGAAATTTATGCATTGAAACAAATTTTTTTTAAGCTCTGATTTCGGTATATTTGCAATATATTCCCTTTCGTAGAAGTTGATCGCTCCAGAGAATATTTGTATTTTTTGTTAAGACAAACAGAAGCCTTTAGCACATAGGAATCCGCACACAAACCCAACGCAAGGCAAACAGACAAATATTTAAAAATACGCAACGAGAAATATGGAATGCGTATATGGAAATGAATTAAGGGGCCAGCCCCAAACATAAATGGCCGCAATTGAGCAGGGTAGGCGGAGTAGGCGTGGCGGAGGGGGGGGGGCAGTAAAGCAACGGTAAAGCTACCCATACAATAAAGAGAGGCCGAGGCCAGTACCAGGCACTGGCAATCGCCATGGCCCAAAGTAAAACCCGTTCAAGTGTAACAATTTAATGGCGTTTGTTGTTGTTGTTATTTTTGTGGGGTTGCTGGGGGATGAGGGATGAGGGGTGCGCGTGTGTGTGGGTGGTTTGTTTTTGGGTAGCTCTTATTGAAGTGGCTGCGACTGCAGCTCCGCAATTTTTATGAGCGAATCGTAAATAGTGCGGCCTGGCATTCCGTGTTTTCTTTCGCCCCCAACTTCGCCGTTTAACCAACCCCCCGCTACAGCCGCCGCCACCACCACCCTCTCAGTCAGAGTAGTAAAACATTTAAGCATTTGGCGTGGTTTTTCGGCTGCTCTCTGCAATTTTTCGTAATTAAACAAGCAGCGAAGCGTAGACAGGATATTAAGGCAACGACTGATAAACCAGCCCACAAGTCCTGCTACCCTTACCCCAGCCGCCTGTCTGCAGCAACCCTTTTTTCAACAGCTTCAAATCAAGCTCACCTCTCATAATCAGGCAGTGGCTGTTGTGTATTTGATTGTCCCTGTCCTTGTTGTTGTCTCGGTTGTCCGCCTTGTTGTGCTGTGGCCTGGGCATAGCCCGGAAGTTGGTCCTTTGTCGTTGAGCTGGGTCCTGCCTGTCGCCAAACGCCGCCGCTGGGATCGATCCACAGGCCATTGGAGCCAGCTGAATTGCCACCAGCACCACCAACGCCAACACAGCTGCCACCACCACCGCCACCACCAACTCCAGCTCCAGCGCCATTCATCGGAAGCGTTGGAAACTTTCGCACGGTGCCGATTGCGTGATTACCTGAAATAAAGCGCGGAATATCGAATAAATACACATGCCAGATACAACAGTTATCTCTATATATATATGTAGAGCTTCTTTCAGCGTGGAAAAAAGGCCAAAGGCAAATAGTAAAAGACGGAAATAACATTTTATTTTCAATTGCCATAGCAGTCACTGCCTTCAGCTGCCTTTTTACTAGACAATTGATGTGATTTTCACGTGCGCCTCTGTCGTTGCTTCTTGCAGTTTAGTTTATCATTTTATAGCTGCTTTAACCTTTGAGCTGTAGCCTAGGCACTGGGCTCCTAATGTTATGAGTGCGTGTTGTTTACTTCCTTCAGGTTTCTTTTTTTTTTTTTTGGCTTACAAAACGAGCAGCTTAATTGGAACCAGCCACAAACGAGCCGACCATAAATCATAGATTATATGAGCTCTACATTGGCCAGGCTTTCAGCTCAGCGTGAATTATCTGAGTTTTACTATTTGGAGGGCTTTTCTTATGAGGGACTGCGTGGGTGGGTGAGCTATAAAAGGCAAATGAAGCTGCTAATGTGGAGAATTTTTGCTTAGATGTATTTGTATTTCATAGTGAATAGTAGAATGATTATTCTAATAGAAGTTCGAAGAACTGTGATTAAAGACAGCTAAATATATTTATACCTTTGCTTATACTTGGTAATTCCCAGTAAGCTGAAATCGTATTGGGTGCTCTAAAAGCCACAACAAAGCTTAACAAGAATTATTCTCAGCGTCGTTGATCTGACCTCAAATGTCAACATTTAAGTTTCTCTCTGCAACATCATTGCCTGAAATTTCTATAAAATTTTTAATACAATTCTTTGACAGCTCTTCCATTTTCTAGGACTGGCAAACAGTGTATCAATAACTTCACTGTATCAATAACTATTCTATTCAATTTTTATTTGTTCCTAAGCAAAAAAGTTGCTGCGGTACGAAGACATTATATGGGCACTGTATATACCCAACATCCATAGGCTAAGCAGTCCATACGACAATCATTATTGTCTCTGCATATATATCTAGAGATTTTAGCAACTCCAGCTCGTATGTAATCCCATCTTATAATATAATAAGACAGTTTGAATTGGCTTGGAAATTCGTCAATTATTTTATAATTTAAAATGTAAGCGCCTTGCTTCTAACAATTCTAATTCTAAATTCTAACAATTAACAAATTGCCAAACCTTTAGATGCTCAATCGAAATAATCTTATAAGCCTATAGCAAACATGAGTTGAAGTTGCAAAATAGTAATATTATAATATAAGTATTTATTTATTATAGTATAAGTATTTATTTATTTGACTATGCGACTTAAGCTCTTCTTTCATTGAAAATATTTGCCACGCTTTCACAGCTCTGTTGATGAAATAAATATTATATATTCAACCCTTAAGCGCACATTTCTAAAACCAGATTCTGTTGATCTGCTTCACAGAGAGGCAGAGCTAGAAATGAGTTATGATAATAGGCTTGCAAATCGATCAATATCGATTGATTATTTACAAATAACAAAGTATTAAGCATTTGTATACCCTTTATCATCTTAAACTACTGCCGAACTAAATGAAAATTCTTATGCACAGCATTAGCAAGCACTAAATCCATAAATCAAAGATTTAATCAGCTTTGCTTTGGCTCTGTCTGCTATTTTAGTAAACTTTTTCATTATCCACATAAACTACGCATATTTTATGTTCCATTTATATTTAGTTTACATACAAAGATACTTAAGCAATGCCTAATCCATTCCAGTCTTTGTAAATTCATAATTTCGGTAATTTTCCGGCTTAACAAGTGCAAATGAGTAAAAGATTTAAGCGGATTAAGTGCTCAGCTCTATCGGCAGTGACATTTGCGATGCTCAATGAAGCAACTGGCTCATCAATTTTAAATGTTGCTAGGCTGGTCAGGACTAAGCTGCAGTTAGCAAAAATTAAGCCACAAGGAAAGAGAAAAGGAAGCCAAAAAGAACGTAAAATAAATAGAAAGATAGCCAACTTACCATGTAAGCTGCCCAGCGAGGTCTGCTTGATAAATTGATAGCGTTTGAATAGAACCAATGCGCCCAATAGAAACACAATTATGGCTATGATGGAGCCCAGCAGGACGATAAACCAGGTCTGCGTTAAAAAGTCATCGGCTATATCACGACTGATGGGATAGCTGCTGAAATGGAAGAGAAGAGGCGATAGGAGAGGGAACGTGAGCATTGATAGCTGCAAAGGAAGTACGTGCCTCGGCTAGGCTTAGTTTAATGTTCAGCTTGGTCTGTCTAGTCCGTCTAGTCCGTCTGGCCATTGTCGTTTGCTGTTAATGGATTGATGTGAATGCCGCTGCTTCAGCCATTGTGCTTGGCAGTCAAATGAGCTGCTCGTAACACAATAAAGGACCACCCAGGATCCAGGATCCAGGAGGCAGGAGCTTCCTGGTCTTCTCCCACTTACCGCGTATAGCCGGTGTCCAGCGATTGGGTCCTCGCATCGATGCGCAACACAGCGGGCTTGCTGAAGGGCCCAACGCCCACGCGTGTGGCCGCCGCTACGGCTATGTAGTAGGTGACGCCCGTGGTGAGGTTGGCCAGCAGCAGAGTTGGGGTCGCCGCATCGATGGTCATATTTTTGAATATACGCGTCGTATTGTGCACGTCCAGACCTTTCACGAGCACATTGTAGCTGGTGAGAATGCCTGCCAACAAAGAGAGAGAGAATGAGAGAGAGACAGACAATGAGGGAGGGATGTACGTACAGAAGATAAATGAAATTAAATGTTAACAAGGAAACAAGGCAAATAGTTATTTATTCGGTCAACCGACTGCTTAAATGCCCCGGCAAAGCAGTTGATAAACACGTTCTTTATATTACAGTAAACGATTTCTTGTTCGCTTTTTTTTTTGGCAATGAAGAGAAATGATAAAATACAGTTAAGCTGTGTTTACTTAACTCTGTTTGCTGTCTGTAAAATAAGGCATGATTTATTTACATGTTGGACTATTAGACTCTTTCGCCCACAAATGATAATAGCAATATAAATAGGTTAATTGACAACAATAATAATTAGTAAATAATAATAATACTTACAATGGTAAACATAAAATAAAATGTATAAAAAATATAAGTTAGTAATAAGTCAAATTTTTAAATAAATAAAAAAAAATAACGATAATAATTCTAAATAATTGTAATAATAATAAACTGAAGTTTTAGTTTAAGTCAGCAAAGTTAGCTTATGTAACAAATTTATCAAAAAAATTACATGAAAAAAAAACAAATGCAAAAAATGCAAACAAAAATATATTATTAAAATAAATAAAACATTTTTAATATAAATAAGTCTTTAATAAATTCATTAAATATTTACCTATATTTCAAAAACATATTTTAAAAAATAATACAAAAACAATAAATATGCCGTATTTTTAGGACATTTTATTTTTCAATTAAATTTTTTCTTAATTTTCTTTAAAATATTTTTAAGTAATATATCAAAATATTAAATATTTGTATGTATTAAATTTCATTTAATATTTTTATATACATTTATTTATTGAATTTTTTTACATTATTATTAATTTATTTTTTAAATAATATTTAATAGTTTAATTTAGTTTAATATTTTTATATATATTTTTTATTGAATTTTATTTACATTATTATTCATTTATTTTTTAAATAATATTTATTAATTTAATTTAATTTAAAATTTGTATATATATTTTTTAATGAATTTTTTTATATTATTATTCTTTTATTTTTTTAAATAATATTTAAATTATTATTTATAAAATTTATGTTGGCTTTATTTAAATTTTAAATATTTTATGTTACTCTTAATATAAAAATATTAAAGTGATGATGTCGTCTCAAAAAAGCTTCGTCCTGAAGTCAAGTCAAAAACGTAAATCTGATTTGTTTCAATTTGATTATTAAATGAAATTATTTGAAATGCAATGAAGCTTGAATCTTATCAGCTGCTGAACCAAAACAGAGTTGAAATACATTGACAAAATAAAGATGAAACTTTAAGCTAAACAATATAAATATTTTAAGTGTCAAAAAATCATCTAAATAAAGTTGTTAGTTTTTATTTTAGAGAAATAGAATAGAATAGAAAATACACAGACTAAACTAACTTTCTTATTAAATATTATCTAAATCAAAGTAAAAGTTTAAGATATACTCTGAAAGCAACTTAAGTTGCTTTGTCCTAAGTCCTAAGTCCTAACCCAATACGCCTATTCCGGGCTACTCAGAGGGATTTATTTAGTACTTACCATTGCGTGTGCGATTCGGCTGTGGCGCAAGCCATTTCAGGAAGACGGAGGTGCGATTGAATTGGATGGCCTCCATGCCGAATGGCGGCGCCTCGGGCACTGTTAGCAAGCAAAGAGCGGGCAGAAGAGAGAAGAAGCAAGAGATTGAATTGGGAATTAGTTCTGGTTGATAAGGCGCCATTGATGCAGCTGATTAGCAGGTAAGCTTGTAAAGCCTTAGAAGGGCAGCCTTACCATCTTCCAGGGTGCGAGCTTGCCTCGAGTTGGAGGGCTTGCCTACGACGCTCTTGTAAAATGGCACAAGAAAAAACTCATACGTAGAAGCCTTCGCCAGACCGGGCACCGTGCACGAGCTCAAGCCCTGCCCCTTGTTGAGCAGCGTCAACATCTTGTACTCCGAGGAGCGCAGCTCTCTGGCATACAAATAGTAGCCCTCGATATATTGCCCGCTGTCTATATCCCAGGCCAAGCGAATCGAAGTCGAGTCGCTGGCATTGGCCTCGAGCAGCTCGACTATGTCGTTCGCTTGCAGCAGCGTCTCCACATCGCTGAGCATCAGCTGCGAGCTGGCCGAGCCCGAGGAGCTGGCGCCGACAAGCTGTCCAGCTGTAATTGGCTCCGAGATGGGCGATGGGGGCGAGAAGCCCAAAGCATTCTCTGCGCGCACTATGAACATATAGGCGGCGCCTGCTTCCAGTCGCTCCACCGTGACAATGGGCTCGCTCAGCCTGCTGGCAATAGGTATCCAGGTTTTGCTCTTGTTCGTGCAGTACATCTCCACGCTGTAGCCGTGAAAGGGCGAGGCGCCCAGCTTGTCGCTCGTGGGCCACACAATTGTCATGGCCGAGGCTGTGGCATTCAGCACCGTGGGCTGTCCGGGTGCCGTGGGGCATTTGCTTTGCTCGGGTGCGCGATAGAACTTGATGTTCGGATTGGTGGGCAACTCAATGCGTAGGAAGCCGCTCCAGGTGGACTTGCCAGCCCGCGAGCTGGCCACGCACGTGTACAGACCCTGATCCTGCTGACGATCCAGATCAGATATGATCAGATCTCCGGCAGTTGTGATATTCAGCTTGGCACTGGGATGCACGGGGATGCCATCGCGATACCACGAAATCGTTGGATTGGGCAAGCCAATTGCCTTGCACTGAAGCGTGGCCAGCGACTTGACGGGCAGCGTTTGATTCACGGGTCCAGCGATGATTATTGGTGGCGGTCGATCCTCCTGGGAGTCAAGCGTCAGCTGCACCCGGGACGTGATGCTAGCCACCTCGTTCATGGCATTGCAAACGATCACCAGATCCTTGTCGGTGCGTTGAAAGCGCGTCAACGTCAATATCGAATGCCCCTCCTCAGTGTTCAGACTGTGAAAGCGATCGAGAGGCGGTGCACCGGGAAAAATCAGCGTGCTGTTGTTCTTGATTGTCCAGAAGATTGTGGGCTTTGGATTGCCCGATGCACGGCACTCAAACGAGGTATCCGCTCCGAGCTCAACCGATTTGCTCGCGGGTCGTTGTATGAATTTCGGGGGTGCTACAGTGTGCGAATGTGTGGGAACGTAGGGCATCAACTAATTAGCTAAGTGTGCGAGACTAGCACTAAATGCATATAGAACAATGACAGAGCTTCAAGAGAACTTCAATACCCAAGCTGCATAGCAAATAATTTAAGTGCGACTTAAAGCTTGGACTGAAAAATGAGCTTCATATTTATTTCACTTTCAGCTGAATTATGTTCCGACTATTTAATGCACTTGAAAAGTTTCTTTATCTAGGTGAAAAAGAAATTGAATTTGTGGCAATATATATCTGTAAGCTCATTTGAGAAACAAAAATGAAGCAAGCTTTTTTTTTAAAAGTTCATTTAATGAGCTTTTGTAGTAGTTGTAGATTTAATCCACTTAAATTAAAATTTTTCAAAAATTTACTGCTCTCAGTTACAGCTTCAGGCTTTAATGCGTTTCGGCAGCTTTCAAATACAGCAGGAATCGAAGCTTCAATGATTTCATTTATACTCTACTGATGTAAGCTTTAATGTGCTTTCGCTGCATTCAGCTCGAATTGAAGCTTTAGAAATTTCAGTTACAATTTTCAGCTTTCAGCTTTAGGAGCTTTCAGCTCAAATCGAAGCTTATAAGATTTTCATATGCTTTTGAAGCTTTCAGCTCGAATCGAAGCTTAAAAGATTTTAGATAATATTTGCAGCTTTAAGCTTTCATATGCTTTCGCAGCTTTCAGCTCGAGTCGAAGCTTCAAAGATTTTAGATAATATTTGCAACTTTAAACTTCCATATGCTTTCGCAGCTTTCAGCTCGAATCGAAGCTTAAAAAATTGTAGATATAATTTTCAGCTTTAAGCCACATTCATCTGGGCTTAAACTTTACTTAAATGCATCTTCAGTTGAAAACAATCAACCTCAAATAAGTCTAGGCTCTTTCGGCTCATGTCATCGAGTTACAACTGCTCAGGTAATTGCTGCATTCACTTACCAAACACCGTCAGTGTGCCCATTGCTGTAATGGCGCCCACAACGTTATCTGCCTCGCAGCTGTATTCGCCCTCGTCCGCAATCGTAACGCGCTCCAGGCGCAGGCTGCGATCCTCCAGCACGCTGACACGGTCTGCATATAGCAGGGAAATTATATTAGAATTAGATAAGACACCTCCGGCCGGACTGTGAACTCACCGAGGGGCATGTTGCCGCCGGAGGCTGTGCGCAGCCAGAGCACATCCGGCATGGGATCCCCGCCCACGCGGCAGGGAAAGGTGACGGAGGCGCCTTCGAGCACCGTTTGATCATGTGGTCCGCGTATGATGTAGGGCTTAACTGCAATAAACATAATGAAGCGCTTAGCGGCATTTGAGGTGCTGTACAGAGCGACCCAAGTCACAATTCAGTAAATTGGACATGACACATTGATTCGAGGTGTGGCACAATGTGGGTACAGAGAGAGAGAGAGAGGGGGAGCGAGGGATGGGTCGACTTACCATGTACTTTGAGCGTGGCTAGGGATGATTCGCGCACACCGACAGGATTCTTGGCAATGCACTGGTATTGACCCTCGTCACTTTGACGTGCATCCTGTATGGCCAAATTGCCGCCATCAACGATGCGTATACGCTTCGTGCCCTCCAAATCCAATTTCTGGCCGCCCTTCTTCCACGTGACCGTCGGTTCCGGTATGCCCCTCGGCGCTGCACACTCCAGCAGCGCTGTGTCACCCTGTGCGATGCGCGTGTTCTGCGGCTCCAGGCGAAACTCATCGCGCAGCACTGTAAATCGAGCAAGCAGAAGCGGACGATGAGTGGCAAAACCTTTAGAGACTGAGTGAGTGAGTGTGTGTGTGTGAGTGTGTGTGGGCTGGCCTCTGTCCATTTGATGCCCGCCTGCTGCCTGGTGGTTATAAATTATCTTGGTTTTGCATGATAAATGCCTGTCCCTGTCCTGCCTTAACCTGAGGCCGCGCAAAGCACCCACGCTCTCTTTTTGTGTGTGTGTGTGTGTGTGCGTGGGTGTTTGTGGTCTGACAGCAAAGATAAATTGTTGGTAAATGGCATAAATGTGATTTTTATACGCACACACCTGCACCTGCAGCAACGAGAGCTCATTTGTAAAAAAGCCTGCGAAGGCCAAGGGCAGCTTTTTAGCAAATTTCATTCTGTTTTGATATATGCAGCTGCAAGATATCGTGGATTCACGGTGATGACTCGTAACTTAAGTAGAGTTAAGCCAAATCGGTTAGAAATGTAATAGTTGAATGCCTATTCGATTAGTGCTAGCAATCGATAACACACATAGATTTTTCGTATGAAACAGCAAATCAGGAACAAAAAATAATTCAGCTGGGCAATGTCAGTGTTTTAAGTATATGAATTAATCATGAGATAAGCTTCTATCTATAATGCAAGAAGCCTGCAGAGCATTTGCTTCATAAAAAAATAGGGCTCAAAAAATTATATTTAATTTTATTTAATTTAATTTTTAAAGACTTTAATATGCTTAAGTTACGAAAATAATATTTAAGATTTCTTAATTTTTTTAAGTATCAAAAATGTTTATACTATTTTTGGTATAGCAAACATTTTAAATTATTTTCCATATTTTGTTTTAATACCTAAACAAGATTTCTGATAATTTCTGACATTTTAGTCAAGTATGAAAAATATTTGTGAATATTTCCATTTTATTGGGACAAATAATATTTATATTAATTTTTTAATATTTCTGGAATAAAAAATTAATTGAATGGATTGTTTGTAAACTATTAAAATTTTGTCTTGCAATATCGGAAATCTTATTACAGCAAAAAATAAATATTTCTAACAATTTCTCATATTGTTTTATTCTTTCTCTAGTTAGGCATAATTACGTATACAATATAAAAGATATATATATTTTTTTAAATAATTTAACTATACAAATATTTTATTTTATAATTATTTTATTTTAAGACCTCATTATCTCATAATAAAAATTATAAAATATTTTTTAAGCATTTATCAATTATTCGCTATTATTGCGCTCATACATTAAATTTATTATATGAATGTTCTAAACATTTTACAATTTGCAAGGAGTTTATATATTTGACAATTTGTCATCTGAGGTTTTATATTTTTGTGTGCTTGCATTCGCTCAAGAGCTGGTCCCAAATAATCAGCAAATATTTTAGTTATTTATGTGTTCAGATCCTGATTTAGATTCATTCTTCTTCTAGCGCAAACGCCGAGCTTCTCGCTCCGATTCGAGCAGCGTTAGAATATCGCCTTCGCGCACAGGTCCTTTAACATTGCGTATGATTTGACGATTCTGTTCGCCCAGAAATTCCACCTTGACCTGGGTGCACTGCCCCTGGGAGCCAGTGCGGCCGAGGACCTTAACAACACGTGCCCAAACAATGGGCTTGTCCATAGTTTCAGCTTCTCTAACTTTTTTTTATGAAGACCACTTGAAGTCTCTCACTCAGCAGTCGCCAGCAGAAAGGAAGCAGACTGAATGCATTGAGGCTTAGCTGCATTTGTTGACCTGAAGTCATGGAAAACTTTTATCGATAACTACCCATTGGACAGTGTTGCAATATAAGCTGTCGATAGCTTGCAACCATGCTGTATGGATACAAAATTTGAAGTTGACTTTAAGATTGATATTGCAATGTAGTTAAGCATGAGAGATAATTATTTATGAGTTTTTATTTAACAAATGGCAGGATAACTCATATAGCTTTTCAGCAACTGTACTGCTGCCTTAGATAAGTGAGTGAAGTGGCATCAATATCAGATATGTAAAAGGAATATATATCGAAAACTAATTTTAAATGAAGTGTTGCTATTGCAGATATCGTTTGTCTAAGCTTTATCCGATAGTCGTGCTTTCGAATCGGAACAAAGTTGGAAGCAATAAAAAATTGTGCTTTGATGATGATTGAAATATCGATATATAATTTATTTGCAGTGTTGCAGTTGATAATTGTGAAGAGTTCGTGGTTCGTAAGCTGCTTCATCAAATAAAATATGCAATGAATTTGAATTTCTGTCTTCATAGTTTGTATACTTTTTCCGACAATACCCATATGTCAGGTGCTAAATTCTAATTCATTTTCTTATTATCAATCAGACAATTTTCTTATAGAAATATCAGGGAATATGAGAAGATACATATAAAAGACTTATATTATATCATAAGTTGGGCAGCAATCATAGAGTTATTATATAAATCAAGTGTTATATATAAATAATATATTAAGTGAGCTCTTGCAATCTGTAACTGCATTTTATGTTACTTGAAATGTAATAATACCTACTTACATTCATATAATTTTTATATATTTCTGAGCTATTTTTGTTGTGAACAACTTCTTTGTGCATTTGAAAAGACTTGCCTAACCCCGGCTGCATGATAAATCAGGCTGTATTATCAGCATGATATATACATAAATATATATATACATATATATATATTTCGCTTTTCGCTTTTGGTCTTGCTTCTGCCAACCGCAGATTTAAGGCACTAACTCAGCTGTCTGCATTTATTTTGCATGGCGTTCGCTGCTTTTGCATTTTCCATTTTCTCTGCTGGCAGCTTCTTTTTGTGGTCAAATTGTGAACCTGTAATTTGCACACCTTTCCACCCTGCTAGGCAGCTCTGCTGCTGACACTGGCAGCTAGACCGATTTGCTCAGTTATAAATTTGGCTAGGTGAATATTTGTCCTCCCTCCCACACACACACACAAAGATATTTTTGTATAGACAGTGTGGGTGAGTAGTGTAATAAATCAAGTAACTTTCAAGCACTTGAAAAGCAGCTGAAAGTGCACATTTTTTTCTTTTTTGGTTATTTTTGCTGCTCTGAAAGGCGAGCTTTGTGCATTCAACAAAATATATAACGAATAAATCCAAATATAAAAAAGGGAGAAGCGGCAGCTGCTTTTACGTAAATTACATTTTACTTTTTGCATTTTATTTTATTTTATTTCATTTTATTTTAATCTGCAAAGTGAATAAGCGCATTTGCTGTGCGCCTTAGTTTAAAACCTGGTCGGGCATGACTTTTATTAAATTTAAAGTGATGTCTATAAATCAACATAAATCAAAGTCTTTCAACGCATGGAAAGTGAACACGAAAGCGAATTTTCCCTCAAAACAAAAAAAAGAAGAAGAGAAAAGAGAGAAAAGCAAAATACAGACAAAACTTTTAATGCGAGCACAGAGGGAGGCAGTAGGAGCCGTGGCTATGGCTGAGCACAGCAGGAAACACGCCAACCATCAATAAATTAATCAAAGTCATAATCAGTGTCAGGTTCAGTGGCACGGCCCAAAGTTCTAGGCCACGCCAATCGGTTCGGTACGGTGTCAGTTTTCGGTTCGGTTCGGTTCGGTTCGAGGTCGTGACTCAGTCAAGCGTTAAACAGTCGCTGAAAAGGTGCAAAATGCCAGCTGCTGATAATGAGTTAATAAATGACCGTTGAGACAATATTTATAAGTCACACATATACATGTATATAAGTGTATATGCGTGTGTGTGTGTCACCGAAAGATTTATGATAGCGCTCAGCTCAATTAAAGATATGCTTGAGCTCCGTCTCACATGGACGGCATATTAATAGGTATAAGGCTCGTTCTGGAAGATATTTGCGAAATGAAAGATAGCTGAATATCTACATAAGTTTTTTAGGCTTCTATGAAATTTATAAATGAAGATGAAAAGCTTTGAACTAGGCAAGACTTACGCTGAAGACGATGCTCCGCAAAGAGTCAACAAAAAATTAAAAAAAATTTTAAAAAATTTTAAAAAATTATAAAAAGTATTTCTAGTTATAGATAAATTCTTTTCTCTTTCAATACCAACTAAACCATCTGTTTCTTGCATATTAAAGCAGAAAAGTTGTTTGTTTACTATTATTTACTTGCTGTAAGCCACTCACATTTGTGTATTCAATAAAGTGCAAATATGCTTATGTTTTGTGCGCCAAGCAACACAAATAAGTAGTCCACAATATTTGTATAAACCTGACTGACTTTCATATTTGATAAGCTCTACCCCTTTCTGTCAGTGGGCGCATACATTGCGTATGCGTAATGCGACGACGTTCTACACAAATTGCGCTGACAACATCAGAAATAGGCAACTTATGTTTTTATTATTGACAGAGAAACCTCGCCCACTCTTTCCCTGCGTTCGCCCTCTAACTCTAACTGAGCAAGTGAACTGCTGCTGTTGCTGCTGCTGCCTCGTGCTCGCTTTTATTGCCTAACCCAATCAATGTGAACGCCTTGCTCTTGGCTCTTAGCTCGAGAGTCGCAATAACGACGTTTTAACCAAGCAAACAAATTTGACGTGCTTTTCGTGATTTACATGCAAATATTGAAAAATATTCCCCAAGGATACCGCAAAAAGCAAAAGCCAACCACAAAAACAGAAAAGGGAGCACAAAAATACAGAAAAAAATGAGCTCACAAAGTCAGGAAGCAATATCGATTTTCATGTGGGCGGCAGTCGTGAAAAAGTAGGGAATGGCACAGCAAGCATCGAGGGCATATGAAAGGAGACCAGCAAATAAAAGAAATATTAGCCAACAAGAGACAAAATGTTGGTCTGCGGCAGCAATAGGGCAATTGGGAGTACAAATGGCCCCCAAAAAAATGGAACAACTGTGGGCCAAAAGATGTGGTCAACATGCGACCTGAAAAATGATCCTCAAATGGGTTTTCTATATAAATAATGAAAATTTAGAGCAAGGTAAATAATGAAATACTGAAGTTTGGATTTATAAAAATGCTGAAAATTAAAAAATATATTTAAAATTTATATTAAAAATATATAATATATATATAACATTTCCCAGCAGAGCCATATTGAACCGTATAAAAATATCTCAAAATAACTGCAGCTGGATATTTACTTTATTATATTAACGTTTAATGCTAGTTGAGCTGCCCTTAAGTGGTTCATTTTCCAATTTATTGTGCCGGCTTCAAGCTCTATGCAAACAGACCTTGCCCAATCTAAATATAGCTACACCCTATGCATATGTGGCCATAAATCACGCACACACACACACACACTCCCACGCAAGTGAAGGAAAATGATAGAAAAACTCAGACTGAGCTGAGCGCTCAGTCAGCCGAGCAACCAACTAACCAGCTGAAAAGGCTTTAAAAGTCACAAAAAATGGCAACGACAGAGATGGAGAGAGAGTGAGACAGCAACTAAAACGGGTTAATAGAGGCAGGGACAGGGACCTCTGACAAGACAAGTGGGTGCGTTCATGCGAAAAACTTGTAAACGCAGCGCCAGCTAGTTAGTTGAGTGGGCGGGGCAACAGCCCAGCCCGAAAACCCAAGCCTGAAACCTAAAAAAACCCATTGCTGTCCCCGGAGCATATCGAAGCCCAGCAACAACAGCGACACAAAAATCAACATCAATTTAGAATATTAAAAACGCAAATCCATGTTGGCAGCGTAAGACTTTGGTTAGGGATATGGAACTTACCCGCCACTTGCAGCGTGGCATTGCGACTCCGTGCCACGCCCAGTTCGTTCTTCGCCTCGCACCAGTAGATGCCAGCATCTGTTTCGCGACGTGAATTGACAACCTGCAAGAAGAAGGCGTTGAGAGGAGGTTTCACTTGAAAACTTCGAGCCAAATGTGAGCAAATTTTAATTGAAATGAGTAAAAGATTGTGTTTTTGCTCTGTAACTTAGAGGTGTTAAGTGGGTATACCAGACTATAATGAGAGCGTTGGGTTTTTGTTGTTAAATTAATTTTAACGAATTTAATTAATAATTTATAAAAATATTTTAAGATTATACAAATATTTGAAAAATCTTATAACTTCAAATATACTCTGTAAAAAAAAATAATTTGATTCAGTGATATTTTAATTCATACCTAAATCATTTATAAAAGGGTATATTTGAAGCTTTGTTGTGTCAAATAAAATAATTATATATAAAATATGCTAATACATAGCAGAATATTATTTTACAGGGTATTTTTATAGTTTTGCCATTTTTTGTAGAATTTGCTTTTCATGATATATATTTTATTATCATTTAACAAACTTAAATAATTTTCTGTCTAATATTTATATAAGGTATTTATACATTTTTTTAGTTGATTTTGTATTTTTATAGGGTATATAGAAGATACATAAAATTGCCTTGGCAAGCATTTGTATTTTAATTTTTCTAAAATTGTTCATATGTTTTTCTTTAATAATTTCTTATAACAGTTGAGAAACTAGATAGTAATAAATTTACAGGATATCTAAATTATGAAAATCTTCAACATTTGCCACTGTTGTTATCTTTAATTTTGTCCCTACCCAAACATTAATTGATATTTATTTATACTTAGTTAATAAACCCAATGCTTACAGATTTTACAGGGTATATTTAAGTTAGTTAGGTCATGTTTGAGTAGCTTGGTCACTTAACAGACTTACGTACATATGCATATACAACTGTAGCACTCGTGCTTCTCGGCCAAATACTATCTCTAGTCTGAATTTGTACAGGGTATATAAAAAGTTATATCATCTCTTAGATTGCGTTGCTTTTTCTTATTGTCATTTTACAAATGGGCTGCAAAAAGTGCTTTCGCAAGACGTTGATTTGCAGTCTCTATCTCATGTGCTGCTTTCTATCTCTTTCTTTCCCCCTCTCTATATTCTCTGTCTCTCGCTCGCTCTCGCTCTCGCCTATGCTTGGCTCTGTTGCCTCGTCTTTTTTGGCCATAATAAACAGTCAGCAATCTGTTGTCTGTTGCGCGTCTGCTGCCTTCAAGTGCTCAAATCATAAAATGTCTCTCGAGCAACTTTATAGTTACTTCATGGCCCCTGCCCCGCCCCCTTTTGTCTTAGCGCCCTTTGCCTTGTGTTGTTTCACTGTTTTTGTCTTTGCAGTTTGTTTATTTGCTTTTGGCGCACAAAAGAAATTCCCCAACATGCGCTTAAAATTAAATGTCAAAATGTATGTTACACTCTCTGTGTGTGTGGGTGTGTGTGATTGTGTGTGTGTTTGTCATATTTATCTGAGGCAGAGCAGCGAGCAGCAACAAAGTTCGCACAATTTACACAACTTCTGCGCCTCATCCAAGTGAAATTAAGTGTTGCGCTAAGTGAAGATGACAAAAGGGTTCTTCAGCTCTATTATTCTTTCATTTAATCTTACTCATGTGGGTGTATACATATAGGTGTGTGTGTGTGTGTGCGTTGTGCCGCGGGTGTGCTTTGTAAAACAAATAAGTGAATGCGCTTCAGGCAGCAACGCAATTGTCATGCGAGTCAAAGGAAAGGCAAAGCGTTTACTTCAGGCAAAACTTCTGGCAATCTCTACTTAAATATATATCTCCTTTTATATATATATATATATATATATATATATATATGTAATATACTTTGTATATATTAATACATTTGTTGCCTTTATCATATGCCACCACAGCAATATGTGCATAATCCATGTTTGATGTCTATTCAGGCAAGAGGATTAACGTTTTGTGCTCTCAGTGGCATGAGATAAAAAAACTATTTAATTATTCCATTTTCCTAAGCTTCTAAAGCATTATAATTCATTTGATGTGGGCATCAAATATTTATATAAAACTTGAAGATTTTTAATCAGCTTTAAGAAAGTTTGGGCCTTTATTGTCTACAGGTATATGAAGGCATAGCATCTGTATATAATCTATTTTATATAATACATATAATAAATTTTAATACGAATTATAATTTTGAATAAATCAAGCTGTGCTTAGCTTGAAAATCCACTATATAACCCATTTTTGATAATCTTTATCTGTGCTTAACCATTTTTATTTAAATATCACGCATACGCCTCGTTTACATTGCAAAGTTGCTTAATCCTCAGCCAAAGAATATGATGTAAGCTATTACTTTATTAAAAGATATTTTTATATAACAAAAGCACATGTCTTATATAATGACATGCAACCAGTTACATAAGCATATGTTTTGTATAGACATTACGTATACGCCTCAGGTGACGCATATAAATATTTGTATTTCTTGTATGAAGTATCTTAAAGATACTCACTTTTCAGCTCAAAAACAGAATTCATTAACATAGCTTTCCATACGACTACGAATATATTTGACATATATTTTTTGCTTCTTCAATACAAATATAAACCATACGCCCTGTGCAACGCATTAGAAACTTAAAAATTGTACAGCTCAACTATCATTATATGCATATCTTTTCAGTCTGCTAGCTCTATCAGCTCGCTCCAATTATGTTTTATTTTATTTAAGTTCCACTTTGATTTAAGCATGCTGCTCTGGCAGAGCTAAGCTCATTAGCTGCCTGCGCAACATTTGCTATTAAAAATGTTATATAAATAATATGGAAAAGAAGCTGCCGCAGGCATCGTCATCCTTTCTAATGAAAAAATGGCAGCCAGATCCGTTGCAATGGCAACGTGCGCAAATTAAAAAAAAAATAAAAATAAAAAATAAAATATAATACGCACAGCACAGCACAGACTAAGCCAGACAATGTAATCTATATATGTTGCTTACTCTTTGGCTACTTCTATTTCGGTTGCCTTTATTTTCCGGTGAGCTGAAATTAAATTTTCTTCTCTGCTTTTTCGGGGGTCCCAAAAGACGGAAAAGCAACTGCGCCGAAAGTCACATAAATTTATTTATGTCTTTAATGACTGGAGCCACGCGAATTGCTGAGAATTGGCTGCGCTTGGTTTTTGTTGTTGTTATTTCTTTTGCTTGGTGCGTGCTGCCAGCGAACATTGAAACTGATTTGACACCAACAACAACAATAATAACAACAAGAGGAGCAACAACAGCAGCAGCAGCAGCTCTGCCGTGTGCTACGTGCGTCTTTGAAGCAGGAGTCAAGGGGCAGCAATGCGGCTATAAAATATATTGACTGTATATATGTATGTGTGTGTGTGCGTTGAACTGTGTGTAGTCGCGCGTTGAAAACACGCTTCCGTTTTAATTTAAAATACCCATAAATTTACAACATTTCATTTGGGAGCCATTTCGTTTTCATGTTGTTACATTTTGTAATTGTGAGAGAGTGAGAAAGACAGTGAGAGATACAGCAAACGATAGACAGAGAAAGTGTGTGAGATAAAGATAAAAAGTATGTGTGCGTGTGTGAGTTCTTTATAATATTGCTTAAATTTAAAGTCGGTAAAATGCGGCGTGTAAATGCTTTTAATTGAGCCTGAAATCAGTCAGCAAAATTGTTTAAATGTCAGCTATCAACTGGTCTGCACAGGAGACAGAGAGAGGGAGAGGGGAGCAGATGTTGTGGGACAATTGCAGGCAACAGGTATATATTCAAAGTATGTAATTAGCTAATGAAATTGAAATAAGAGCTAAAAAATTGGAAATAAAATATGTGCAATGAAAAGGATGCGCTGCAAGGCAAAAACTAATTTGTATATAAATATTTGACGATTGCTAGTTGTGAATGTGTGATTTTACCTAATAGCCTAAGAACGTTTGTAAAAGCTTAACTTTTTGTAATTATTTATATATATTTTATAAATTTTTAGGCAGATATTATACGATAAAAATTTATGATCGTGTAATTTAATAAAAGTGCGAGTTAAACATTTATATATGAACACATGGGGGTATGGTTAGGGGCAACTGCTGAAGGATATATAATAGAATACAAAATATATACATATGGAAATACATATAGAAAAGCGTATAAGAGTGCAGGATAATTTATAAATACATAAGTCAATATATATATATATATATGTTTCAAGAGCAGAATTTTTTTTATTTGTATATTTCAGCATCAATTCTCAGCCTCTGAGATGAACATTTCTCTGTATTCATAGTAATATGTTTACGACTATAATATAAAATTGCACTGATATCTCGCCTTATACATTTAATGTCATAAATCATTTTATTTATTCTTCTATGTTTTCTCTTATAAATACTATTTGGCTTGCTCTATAGTCTTCTACATATTCATTTAAATGTCCTTCTTCAAATGCTCCCAATTGTCCATCTAAATGTCTATATACTATATAAGGTCTTTTATCTCCATATAGATTCTTTTATATGTTTTGCTACATATACCCTCTAATATACCTTAATATAGAGCCTCCTATATGAACTTTTCTGAAACTTCCTATAAGTCAACTTCTATGTCTGGTTATATATCTTCTATATTCCTTTCAATATTGCCTCTTCTTTGCCTTATTAAATGTACTTCTAAATGTCATCCTATATTACCTCCTCTGTATGTTTCTACCTGTTCTCTATGTCTAGCTATATATGCTTCATCTACTCAAGTGTGTTTCCTCTACTACATGCTGCTATTTATATACTTATATATACATCCATTCCTCTAAATATCCTTTCATATTACCCTGACTGTCCTTAACTTATCTATAGAAATAAATATGCATTTGCGACTGCTTTTCAGCATTCGTATAGAGCATCTGCTAGGCAAACTCCTTCTCTCTATCTCTCCCATACCATCTTACTATAAAAACTTGTCTTAGTAAACTGCTGCTGATTCATGCTGCCTCTGTCCTCAACGAGCTGTCCATAAATCAAACCTTTTGCCAAGCATTTCATATATTCCATGACATGTATGCTATATTTTTTACTACCAACTCCCACGGCTACTTGACTTGCTGCCAACTGTTAAGTCGTTCATTAAACGGCTCTCAAAGCAGCTAACAGCCGACGCCCTGCGACCCCTGCCCCTACACAGTTAATAAGCGAGCCGCACATAAAAGGGAGATGTACATGTAAATATATATATAAAGCATACGCAACGTGGGCCGCGTTGTAGCACTGCAGAATGTGTATATAAACTGCCTTATTTTTATGAAGCTGCGAATGTGTCAAGCGTTTGTAAACTCATTAAAATGTGCTCCACGCGCCGACAGTTGAAAGTTATGTGGCAAGTGGAGCAGCTGCCGCTCCGCTCCCTACAGTAATATTTCCTTAAACTGCCTTGAGCAGGTTTTTAATTGAGCGCCCAAGTGAAGAGCAGTAAAAGAGTCCAAAGAAATGCAATCAAATGCGGTTTGATTTATGCGAACTGCTTGCTTGAATTGCTGATTGCATTTTAAAGCTAGCCGCAAAACTACTTCAGCGCTTAAATAAACATTTAGATGGCAACGAACGCTTTACATGCAAACACTCAACTCAGTCAGACAGACAGACAGCCAGCCAGATCCACAAATATGCCCGAAAAAGAGTCGAGAAGAGAGTCAGTTGTTGGCTCTTCAACTGCTGCTGCTGCTGCTGCTGCGACTGCTGCTGATGAGGCAGGCAAAAGCAAAGCATAGTTGCTACAAATCATCATGTGTATACCCTCAACCACGCCCCCTCTATGCCCATGTCTGACTGGTGCTTGTGTTCTCCACTTCTCCTGCTTCTACTCTCTTTTTCGTGCTGTTACGTAAATTATTGTCTGTCTCCCTGTTGCTCGCTCTTCCACTGTCACTTTTCACTACACTTCAGCTTTTATTTTTTTTTTCGGGCGCGCGTTTCCCTCGCACACACACACAAACACACACATATATATACGCTTGTGTCTTCTTGTATTTTATTGCATATTCCCCATTCGCTTGTCTGCTTTTGTTACTTAAAGGAGATACTCTAGCAAACTTTTGTGCCATATTAAAGCAGCAGCATCTTGCCTCTCCCTCCACACCTCTCTTCCTCTCTCACTCTATCTCATGTAATTTGATAGTGTTGCATAGTTCTGGGCTATCATTTTCGGGTCTAGGGCGCCCCTCGTTATAATAATGCCCGGGCAAAGTAGGAGCTTCACTCGCATTATAAGCAAGATGAATTGTTCCAAACTTAACAGAAACAGAGAATGATTGAAAGCGAGATAGGACGAGCCAAGCGTATCGGAGTGAGAGTGAGAGCAGCAGAGAGATGGCGAGCGAAAAGCCGGCGGAATTAGAATGTAAATTATGCAAGTGACATAGAAAAATGGCAAGAGGACTCTCTAAAAAAATAAGCTCGCATAACAAAAGAAATAAAATGCTTGGCTTAAATTTCAAAATGAAGCTGGCTGCGAATTTATGTGGATTAGTTTATGGACTATTCCTTTGTGCGCTGCAAAAAGTCGAGGATTAACTGCAAACGGAAAAAATTTATTTCGCTTGCGAAGGGTCAGTTCTATAAGTTGAAATGGAAATGGAATTTAAAACTAGCCGAAAAAAATGAAGTAAAATTTAATGAAATTTATCTACTATATATATTAAATTTAATATTTATATATATAGCTATATTCATAATTTAGATTTTTATATAATATTTATATAATATTATTTTTGAAAATTTTTAAGATATTCTCTAAAAAACCCAAAAGAATAATACAACTTTTTTATCTTATTTTACTCTATGCTCTTCCATCAGTAACTCTTCATTTTACTCCATACTCTTTGCTATCCATAACTATATATATGCTTATTGATGTCCTAGGTGCATCGGCCAGCTTTGCCTACACAGAGACAGCTGGACAGTGAAAGTCACTTAGGGCATGCTTGTACAGCTCGATAACTCAACTAACAATCCATATATAAATTTATAAATTTTATAAATTTATATAAATACAAATATTTAACAAATTTATTATATTTATTATTATTATATTATATATTAAAACTCCTAAAAAATTGCAGAAAAAAATCATAGCAAATAGATTAGATTACCCAATGCGATTTAAGCTTTTCCTTTTATACGAAACTTCCTCTGCCATTTAATACCTTTTAAGCTGTTAATTTATAATCCTTTTAGGCGGTGTTCGAAGTGAAATAAATTGCATTTACCTGCCGCCAGAAATGTTCAATAATCAACAAGTTTTTGCGTGCTCAACAGAAATATGCCAAAAATGTCGGGGCCAAATAGAATGTGGCCAACGTGTGGCTTGGCCGCACGGATGCGTGGATGGTTGACAGGATGCAGTGAGAAAAGCCAAGCCAGGCCAAGAGACGAGAAGCTGCTTTGGAATTAATTCATTTAAAAGCTCGTTGCGAGACGCAAATGAAAAGCGAGCACAAATAAATAGCAGCAGCGGCAGCAGCAGCTACATTTAGAAAGCGGAAGAGCGTCTGATTGCTGCAATCCTGCATCCTGAATCCTTTTTTGCACTTAAGTGATAAACAAATAGACAAACACAAATGCGAATGCGAATGCGAATGCGACTGCGAATGTGAATGCGAATGCGAATGCGAATGCCAGCCAGATCGAGTGTGAAAAGTGGCAGGCAGCAGTTGAGAGCGGTAACTGCCAGCCAGGACTCGCACCCAAATGTCCTGGCTGCAGAGGCAGCTCCGACTCCAACTGCATCATCAGCATAATCAACGCGCGCGCCGTTGGCTTTTTGCGTCGTAAATTGCTGAGTGCTCAGTCCAAGTGCCTGCCACAGCCAACACACACACATACACACACACAGAGAGTCAGACGCACACACACAGCTGGCAGCTCATCAGGCGCTCTGACTTTTGCTGCGTTGCCAGCCTGGCTTCCGTTTGTCTTTATTTGTCTGGCTACGTCTGCTTTTGGCTTCGACTGCTCCTATCTCCCATTCGACTCAACTCCTTGGGAGTCCCTCTTAATGTTTGTTTACCTTACGTTAATGAAGTTGTTGGCCGCTCCAGCGAAATGCTCGCAAAAATATTTTCGCAGAGCTACGAGTGCGCACACATACACACTCCTATATATATATATATATATATATATATATATATATATATATAAAATAAGCAAGAAAAAAAATAAAAGCAATTAGTTTGCTCATCACTCAACAGCTGGCAAAATGAAAATTTTTAAACATGAACCAGCTGCCCGACCTTTCATAAGATATGATTGAAAGCGCGGAGACAGCAAAAATAATAATTATGCAAGCAGCGCGAGAGCGCAAAAAAAGAAAATAATCATCATAAAAGTAAAGAGCTGAAAAATAACAGAAATAATAATAAGTAAGCGAAGCAGCGAAATAAAGTAAATATGCCACAGGCTCATTTCATTTGGCTCTGGCTGAAAAGGATACAAAGCCCAACGTTCTGCTCAACTCGACAGGAATCTGCGCATATTATTGTGGGCAGAGGTGTGAACTGCGAGCTTGGCAATTGAAGCACGCCTGCACAACTCTTTACTATAAACAATGGCTGAAGCCATCATGAGCCCTGGCTTAACCGCGCTCTCCCTCTCTATCTTTCGCTCGTTTAAAAAATTTTAATTTGTTAAGTTTTTTACTTATTAAGTCAATTCACTTCTACAGAAACTAAACAAAATATCTTCATTAGAGAAGAGAACTAGGCAAGACTCTAAACATTGTCAGAAGTTTATCACAGAAAATTATTTTGAAATTTATTAAATATTTTAAATGCTCTTAAGACAATTTTTTTTTATTTCAGAAAGTTTTTCCCTTCAAATATAAGTGTCGAGGCTATGAGCCAAACTTCGTTGTTTAATTAGTAGTTTATTAATATATACAGCTACATATTCAAATCATTTTTATTATTTATTTTTATATTATTTTTATTTTACTTTTATTTTATTTTTATTTATTGTATATTTTATTTTTATTTTATCTTTCTTTTACTTTTATTTTATTTTAATTTTATTTTTCTTTAATTTTTAATTATTTTATTATTAAGATCTATTCATAGTTTAGAATGTTTTATATTTTTACATTTGAGATTAGTCTTCTTTAAATCAGAAAATCTTTTCCACATACAAACTTTCTTCCTTGAACTATTTAATTTAATTTATTTTATTTATTTACTTTTTTTTTAATATATTTATTTTATTTTTATTTATTTAATTTTTTTTTTAAATTTATTTATCTACACTGTCTTATAAATGAAAATATATATCTATTGCTAAATAAACATCTACATTTCAATCTTCCAAGTTCTCCCTCTCAGGGGAGTCTCTCCATTCCCTCTCCCCCGAGCATTCAGAATTGCGCATAATTTGCATGGCTTGCACACTTACCTTGAGGAAAAACAATCCACCCGCCGGCAGGGTGATGCGATGCGATCCGGGCAGTATCTTGAGTGGTACGCCATCCTTGTACCATTGAATTGTGGGCGTGGGCGAGCCCTCTGCCTTGCAATTAAGCGTTGCAGGTTCGTGTCGCGGCACGGTCGTGTCTATGGGATGTTCCACTATTCGCGGCGGATGTGAACCTGTGAGACAGAGACGAAGAAGAAGATGAGATATTGGAATGAGCAATGAAGAGGTTAAAGCGCTTTTTATACAAATTGCAAGCCGACGTGGGCGTCGGGGGCGTTGGAGCCGAAAGGCGGGGGCATTTCCTTTTTCCGCTGCGTCAGTCGAGAGCTGCGCTCGTCAGCGATTTGGCAAATGTTAAAAGATCTCGTTGGCAAAATGAAAACAATGTTAATGCGCATTGCCGTTGACGTTGCAAATGAAGTTGCAGCTGCAATTGCGATTCAACTGTCGCAGTGCGGCAGTTGCAGGCGGAGGGGGCAGAGCCCGTTCAAAGCTTCATTTCGGAATTAATTTGTGCGGATTTGCATATGCGGCAAAGAAGCAGAACCGCAGAACCTGCACAGCTTAGTAGTTAAGTAGTTTTTTGTTTATGCAAAAACTGCTAAATTAACCCAAAGAGATGGCAGGTAGTACACACAGATAACTGTGCTAAGCAAAGGATTAGCATAGTTACAGCTGACTGAACGCTCCGACAAAGACAAATAAATAAAGGCTGTGTTTGATTTACAGCGCCAGCCCGAATAAATAGCATGCGAAAACATTGCCTTTTGGTCCATAGCAATTGCAAATAATGTTTTATATATTACGGTGCGAGTGAGTGAGAATTTGGTTTATTTCAATATGTTTTAGAGATATTATATATATATATTATTTATTTTGTCAAAAGGTCTTATTTGTTTTTAAAGATTGAGCGAAGTGAACAACTAGAAAATACCCTGACTATAAATATGTGATCTACAATACAAACTCAGACTCAGCTCGCCTCGGAAGAGCAACGAGCAGTCGTCTTCTCTCATAGTTGATGATCTCAGAGAGCTGTAGGACATTGGGAGTCTGTCACGCCTATGATTCAGGCTCATTAGCAAGCCCTTGGCTAGTTGCAAGAGCTCTTTCTATATATAAATATAAATAAATAAACTATAAATATTTTCTATAATTTCACTGCATGCCTCTAAGGCTCCAAGGCTCTGCCAGCCTTTTACATATATAAACAGAAAAGCCTATATACCCTATAAACAAATTTCCAAGAGTATATTTCAATTAAGACCATCAAGCCACAAATATCAATTCAACTCGCAAAGTTAAAACGAAATCGCGCTTAAAGCTAACAAAGCAGATCTTTAAATTGCTTTCCAGCCAAGTTTTGTCAGAAATAAAGATGAAGCAGTAGCAGCATAAAGTTTATATTTTATTGTAGTTCGTTATGCTTAGCCATAAGCAATATGTCAGTTGCAAAAACATAAATTTCAATTTTCATGTCGTATATATCAACAATTTGCTGCCAGACACGCACGCCCCAAACACAGCAACAACAACAACAGCGACTCACGCAAGTGGCAAAAAGTTTTGTAGCCATAGATACATTTATATCTTAGAGATACATAAATGTATCTGCAGCTGTAACTGTTGCTGTTGCTGTAAGCGGGTTTTGAAAATTGATATGTCAGAGAATGTTGGAATATTGAAACGTTATTAAATAAGAAGAGGATTGTTGTTATTTGTATTGCTGCTGCCGCTGCTGCTGTTGATTGCAACATGACAACAACAGCTCGAGGCAAAAGTTGCATGTCATGCAGCAGACGCTGCACAAAGTCGACGCTGTAAATCGAATTGGCATTGGGGGTAGAGGAAAAGCCGAGGACAGTAGAAAACTGGGATTCGAACCCTGAATTCTGAATCAAGCGGCGAGAACATGTTGCATGTGGCTTGGCCGGCCGTAGGGTGCTTGCCGAGCAAGACGCATGTCAATGTTATTTTAGCAATGAAAAAATATAAAAAAAAAAATACTCTAGGGGCGGGCGGGCGTGGCACTCATGACTGGATCCCGAAAATCAACACGCAAGCAAAACAAAACGAAAAAAAATTAAGCAAAGGACAAATGAAACTGAAGTTCAACCAAAATGTGTTCAATGCGCACATTCTGAGGGTTAAATGTCGCATGTGGGTGGCTCTTATTTTGGGGTGGCCCAAAAGTTGCCGAAGCGTGGAATTTTGTTGTTTTTTTTTCGTTTCGTTGTTTACATTTCTTTGCTTGACCAAGGAGCGAGCGGGCTTGGGGCTTGCGGTTGTGTGACTGTTGCGCCCTGCGGTAATATTCAACACCTAAAAAAAGGTTTTTTGTTGTTTATAAATGACAAACTACACTGGGGTTGGGAGTGGAGGTGGGGGTGGGGCAGTGGGTGTTATTGCTGCTTGCGTGTGTTTTTGGTAACACGGATGTAACAGCCACTGTGTCAGAAAATACGCATTTAAATATCAATTAAAAAGATAAGGGTGAAAGCGACATGTTAATGCAGCAGGCAAAGTGAGGTTAGAAAAGGGCTTTTCAACTGAAATTGAAAAAAAAAACAGATGTGTTGTTTAATAAAGTTTTTGAGTGTTATTTTTGACACTTGCTGGCAGACATTCGGCTGAGAGACTTGCACACAGTGGCTCTAACCATGAGTTGAATGCTGTCATGCCTTTTATATGTTCAGCAGAACATAAAATTCTATGCAAAAAGCATTATTAAGTGTTCTTAAGAGTAAGCACACATTGCTAATATAAGCACTTGGTGAGTTTGTAGCAGCAAAAAGACAGAAAATTTAGAAAATATATGTTCAGTTAAGTCTAATTCTTATCACAGTTGCAGCTCAAGTCATGGCTCTTAAGCCAACATTAAAGTTAAGTTAAGTTAGAGTTGAGTGGACATTAACTCAGTGAAATTACTTTTCATATGGCAAGCAACTATTTTCTCTACTTTCCTCGACACACAAGCCAAAAATAGCAGCTTGGCCGCCCACTAGATAAATTTGCTTAGCAGCGGCAGCAGCTGCTGTTGCAGCACATAAATTATGGCACAGAATTTAATTATCGCATTGGACGTGCAACAGCTACAACATGCTCGTCGTAACACAATTTTCGTATCTCGAGTGCCAGAGAGCTGCGTCTGTGTGTGCTCGAAAGTATGCTACTAAAACAATTAGCAGCGCCCTAATTAAAGCAACAATCCAAAGCGAACTCCTTGATTGATGATCCAAGTGAGCGAGCGAAAGCTGTTTGGCTTACTAGCCATATATCGTTAGACATATATATATATATATATATCTATATGTATATATATTTTTCTTGTTTCTTAGCCGCCAGGCAACAAACAAAAGCAGCCATGCAAATTGCACACACACACACACAGTCACATTGGCTCGCATGTGGTGTAGCTAAAAGAAAATGTTTAAGGAAATTGCTGCAAATATTTTGCTTGTTAAGTGAAACCCAGTTTTCGCAACTGGAGAGACCGAAAACTGCACTCAGAAATGCACTTCAGGCATTTTTGCGCCTTAACCAGGGTCGAGCACTCGACGGGACTTATGGAACGTCTTCGTCTTGGCTTCGTCTTCGTCTAGGGCTTGCTGCTTCGACTTTTTTTTGCGTTGCTTTTCCTTTGGCAGTTTTGCATTTTGCATAAGCGCTTGGAAATGCCTTTGTCGTTTTAGCAATTTATGCAAATTTCGTGCATTTTCCCCTATGTTGTTACATTCTTTGTATGCCTGCCCAGCAGCGGCAGCAGCAGCATATATGCATACCCACACATATATATATGTACGATATTTATAGTAGAGCAACTCCTTTTACATGCCGTATATAGGGTAAAGGCTTCGGCATGCAATTAAAACTAAATTAGTAGGCCTCTGGGCTATGGCCTGTGTGAGTTTTCTGAATTCAGTTTTCTAGTTTACTAATTGAATTATTTAGTTGCGACTCGTTTCATTAAATGCACACGCACACTTTTAGAGCAACGGCAATGGCAATGGCAACGGCAACTGCAATCAGTTTTACAACAGTTTTTAAAAAGTTGCAATGTCAACAAACTGACAAATGAAATACTTCTAAGCTCTAGAATATAATATAGATTTGTGTATATAACTTATAGAATTTATCAGCCATATTAGTGAACTACATATTAACAGACTAACGAGTCTTTCCTTAATCAAGATTCTTGTTAAATAAATTTAAAATTCAATCTGTTCAAAAGTCAGACAATGAACTATGGATGAACTGCTTAATATTAATTTATATTAATTTAATATATGAATTACTTCATCAAGCTCTTGCCATAAAAATCAATGGCGCTTTATTTTTCTCTATTTTTAATTTACCTAAATTTTAAAAAAAAATATATAAATAATAAAAATGTTCAAAAAAAATTAAAAAAAAATTAAAAGCTTATTAAACAAATTTTTAAATTTTTTTTATATATTTTTAGACATTTTTATAAATATTACTTTGATATGATTTTAAACTAATTGTATAATAAATTATAAAAAACTGATTTGCATGAAAATGAAAATAAAAATTATATATATAAAAAAAATATATATATAAATAAAATTTGTATATAAATAAATATATATATATATATGTATACATATATTTAAATTTAAATACATTTAATATTATCATATTTGTTAACTGAACACTTGTTCTTTGCCATAATCCAAACAGCTTTTACCCTACTTCAAATTTCAAGCAACTAAAATATGTTATGCATATTTATATATACATATGTACATTTATAGCTGGACAGCCAAAAATTACATTGTCGCCTTCATTTTCGTTGGAAATTGTGAATTTCGTTTCTTTTGAATGGGCAACACCCTTGGAACAACAGCCGAAATGAATGGAAATTGAAGTTTGTAAATGCTTCGTGTGCAGCAAATTGTTTCCGGGGATGTTGTGAAAACTTTCTGTTTAGTTATGAATCATAACGAGGCAAAGGCAACCGAAAAACCTCCCAACAAACAGAAAAAACAACTTGGCAATAAATTGTAACATTTAGAACTAAAATTTGTGCTTTTGTTTCACTTTTTTACACGCTCCAAGAAGCAAGGGGTAGAGGCAGCGTGGCCAGGGTTCGACTCTTGACAATGACTCAGAAGTTTTTCAAATGAATTGCTTTTCGACTAGTCACAATTTT